GTGTAATAAATTTTAATTAAACGTTTCCCTGATAAAAGCGAAGCTCGCACGCGTCGACAGGCAGTCGGAATTAAAATGCCGAGCAGAGAAAGAATGATCGTGACTGACGAAGTCATTCGCGAGGAAATCGTGGGGAAACAAAGGAATGGAAGGTGAAACTCGAAGAAATTAAGCAAATGGCAAAGAATAACCCCTTGGACCGCGAGCGAAAGGCTTTGGGATTGGACCTAAGTGAGTCGTAGAAACGAAAGGGTAGGAAAAAAAGCGTCGGAAATTCCGGAGAATCGTGAGTGCCAGTTTATCGAGCGACTTAACTGGAACAAAGAGATAAAGCAATGAGGGAACCCGAGGTGACGAGAGGGAAAGTTCTTTTTTTAAAGACGATTCCAGATTACGTGACGAGGAACGAGCTTCGATTATCAGAGCTATCTGTTCGTTTTCCATTATCCCCAAGCCACTTCGTTCGATGAGACGCCAATTATTTTTGGAAAATTATGTGGAGGGGCTTGGTGTGGGTAAGTAAATTTTTCATCGTTTTAATCGACCGGAAATCAATTTTACCGTCGTTAAGTTTATCGAATTCTCACGAATTCATTCGCCTCGATGAAAACCAATTTGAAAATATTTCATCTAAATTTCTTACAACGATCGATAAACCATATTGTACCAAATCGTTGATTAAAGGTCCTTCGTAATCTGATTAACGTTAAAATAATTCCTGTCTTTCGACAGCCACGAAGATCGGTTCTTGTTCTTCGCCCTTTCAGCTCTGCATCGATTAGTCACAATATTCCGTGAGAATCGATGGTGCTCGATAGCCGGAGAAGTTCGAAATTGAAGAGGTCACGGTACCTTGATCTCCTCGAAACAATTCAAACGACTTTGCGTGGAATGTCCAAAGGGCAGGCTTTCTTCGAGGCTCCCCGGTGCCGAATTACTTGGACAGCTTAAAGGCACGGATCAGTAGTTGCCTTCAACAATGGTCCCGCATCGACGGAGAATTTTAGCATCCCCCGACGTTGTACAGGTTTCCTGCTATCCCGTGAGAGACTTCATGGCGCAAGTTTCGTCTTTGTCGGGCACCGTTTACACGTACTTTCGAGACACGTGAACACCAAGTACTCTAACCTCTCGTGCAGCGGGGTGGTTAAGCCGGTTGAAAAGGTGGCGAGGGTGCAAGAAAAATAGACGTACTTTTCTATCGCCGGCGGCACGATTATTTGTCCAGAACGTATACTTTGCTATTCGCTCACGTTCTCAAGCTGGATAACATTTGCGAGTAGATGGCTTTGCCAATGGAGATCGTAGCGAATTGTGCAATTTTTAATTCGATCGAAACTCGAGCAATAGAGATTCTACAAGCGTAAAGTAGATAAATGGAAACTCGGGTGGAAAAATAAGACGTTCTTGGTCCAAGAAAGGAAAATTCGAGGACAAGTGGTTCGATAAATGAAAACAATTTAAATATTAATTTAAGCGATCGTCAGAAGTATTTACCGATAGAACCTATAAATTTTTAATGCCAATATTTTACGGAGCTTGTAACTAAAATACTTTGCCTATTATAGTCCGTCATTGTAAATAAACAGGAAACAAATTTGGACGGAATCTGTAACCATCCATTTCGGGGTTTTACCGTTTCATGCACGGCGGCAAGCGGTGCAAAATAAATAGAGCGTCGGCACGGCGATAATTCAGGTGGCCGAGGAAACATTTTCGGGATTTAAAAGATTCACTAAATCGGCTGGTACGTACGGGGAATCGAATCGATCGAGAGCTTACGCTTTTTCCGTCGCTGTAATCAGGTTGTCCGATTAATTAACACGAATTTAAATAAGCAAACGCGCGAAGCAATCAGTGAAATGAATTTGTGGCCGATCGTATTATTTACACGAGTGGCTTGTTGAACGCGGTTAATGAATTGCAATTACATAATGGATAAACAAGGAATTTAATCCGGGGAAGAAAATGATTTCTTTGGATCGTCGATTTTCGGCAACGAACGAAAAACAAGGTGAAACGCGGTGTTGCATAATTAAATGTCGACGACGTTTCCGTGGAAAACCGAAAGTTCGGAAAGTTCGAAACAGCCCGTGGTCGACGCGGAAATTATTCAGAGCACTTTCGAGGGCAAGTTTGTAGAACGACAAAACAGGGAACGATCGCGAAGTTGGGCAGTTTTCGAAATAATTGAACTATTCAAGACGAAATTAATTGCAAACGTTATATGACGATAACGTTAATAACGATGAAAATATCAGGAGAATTTTTCGAACAAACGACTACCCCCGTTAGGGGAAAAAATGTTTTTATGATTTTATATTCGATAAGCAGAACGCAATCTCGAATTCGATCATCGCAGATGGAACGAGAATTAAATTTATTGCATCCCCGATATTACTCTAATTTCAAGCCGGCCCCGGCGATTTCATAGCACGGGGATTCTCCGATCCATTAAAATCGGAACAGTGTGTTTAAATTCTTTTCGATCGAAATATTAACAGCTATTGGTGAACAAAAAAGCGTGGACAACAGCGGCGAGGGGTGGATCGGTGGCAAATGTATAAACGACTCGATATTGAGGGAACGAACAACGAAGCACGATCATCGAATCGATAGATAACAATATCTAGTATTCGAGAGATTGCATATCGCGTTACAGGGAAACGGTGTGTATCGGACGATTGCCTCGGTGCCCATTTATGACGGCAATTCCGCTATTTTCTCGATACATCGACCTCGAAATTGAGAGTGGACGAAATAAAACGAAGACTCGCACGAAAGACGTCTTTCAAAAAATCGAATGTAAACTTTCGCGCGTTGCAATTATTTTACACAGCGTGTCGGAAGATATATCTTTCACGGAATGATTTCGAAAGAATCGACTATCTCGGAATTCGCAACAGTTACCGAAGTAATCGATCGCGGAGAGTTGTGGTCTGCGGAAGCGGTTGGCCAAAGTTTCAGCACAGTATGTGATCTTCACGGCTGGGGAGCAAGCCAAGGATAAAGTAATTAGTGTTTAACTGTAACTTTTCACCCTTATTTTGCTACCGTCCCGAGCTTCCAACCGGGAGAAAATTATGAAACATGTTTTGTAACGCGTTAATCAACACACTGTACAGAATTTCATTTTCGCGACTTCATAAAAGAAACAGAAGGAACCTTTATCGTGTTACCGTTAAATAAATTGTCGCGTTTTATGCACGTAACAATTTTTGCCACTGCATTTTTACCATGGCTTTACTCCGAATATTTCCTATAAATAAAATTATTTTCCTGCTGAATTTTATTCCATAAAATTCTTTCGAAACTGCTCCGTCATTACTGTATAAAATATACGTCTGAAAAATTAAACGAGTTTACAAAAATAAACGCTGCCGTTCTAACAAATAATTTCATATTAATTTTAACGCGTCATTCGATTAAATATTATTAAACGTTCGTATAAAAGCGTCGTCTGAAAAATTCAAACTCCACAAAAATAAATGTCATCGTTCTAACAAATATTAATTTCGATGTTTCATTCGATTTAAAAAATTCTAAAGAGTCATGTCCTTTCTTCATGTTCGTTTACGAAAATGCACAACCTGCTCCAATAACTCTACTTCACCCTCAGAACCACCCTCAAGACTATTACTCAAAGTATCACCCTATCCACGCTTACGCGTGACCCTGTTTCGTCGAAGCGTGTTTGAGAACGCGCCCCTTCCGCTCGCGAGCAACATCACCGATGTCGCTGCATGTATTTGTGCACACGAACATCAATTTACCGCGCGCAACGTTCGCGCGTTTCTAGTTTGTTTGAGCCGCGACTCACGCGTCTCTTCAGTTCTGTACACTCTGCTGCAATGTACACTTCCTTAGACAAGGAACGTAGTTTTATAACTTTTTTAGTCATAAATCCCTGAATTTTTTTGGTTCTTCAAGTCTTAAATTGTGGATGGAGGTCCTTTGGGACTTGAAGTTTTCAAATTCTCATATTTTTGAATTTACAGATTTCTGAATTTTTTTATTCGTGAATCTATGGATCCCTAAATTCTCACATTTGCAAATTTAAGGATTCTCAAATTCTCACATATGTAAATTTACAGATCCCCAAATTCTCATACTTCCAAATCTATAGATCGAAATCTCACATTTGTAAGTCTACAGATCACCGAATTCTCAAGCTTCCAAATCTACATCTCCTCAAATTCTCACACTTCCAAATCCATATCTTCCCGAATTCTCAAGCTTCCAAATTTATATCTCCCCAAATTCTCACGCTTCCAAATCCACATCTCCCCGAATTCTCAAGCTTCCAAATCTACACCTCCTCAAATTCTCACCCTTCCAAATCCACATCTCCCCAAATTCTCACCCTTCCAAATCCACATCTTCCCAAATTCTTACGCTTCCAAATCTACACCTCTTCAAATTCTCAAGCTTCCAAATCTACACCTCCTCAAATTCTCACCCTTCCAAATCCACATCTCCCCAAATTATAACCCTTCCAAATCCACACCTCCCTAAATTCTCACATTTCCACGTCCCAAATCTCCAAATCCCAAAATTCGAATTTCTACGTCTCCCACTTCTCGCACCCCCAAATTCCCAACCCCCAAATTATGAAATGAAACCCCTAAAATTTCCCTCTCCCCAAAAAACCCTTGATTTCCACGCGTGAAAATTCTGCAGTTGCACGTGAAAATTTCCCTAGAAGCAGATTTGCCGGAGACTGTACGCGTTGTCTTGGCAGGGGTAGTTGTACGCGCGTGTTTGTTCGGCCGTGTACATTGAACGTAGCGAGTCGAGGATCGCGAGAACGCTTTAACGAACCAGGAACGCCCGAAGCGATCGCGGGGTCCTTGTTTTCCGCGTAATGAACGAGAAATTGAATAACATCCGGTGTCGGCCGTTTACTCGAGCTCCGCACAATTTCAACTTGAGACTTGCGCGATGTTTTTGCGATTGTACCACACTCGTTAGATCGTTGATTTTAGATATGTTCGACTTACCGTGGTCCGTTCTCCTGTTGCTTTCGAGGCTCAGTTGTTTACCTGTTTCGCGCTGCTACAAAACGATATTGCGCGATGGACCGGGCATATTTCACGTTTCAACCGCAGCCAGTGATCGAACGAACCGTTTAATCGAACGATTGCAATTGTAGTACGAAACGATGGAACATATCCGTCACTTAGAATGTGGTTGGCTAAACGTTCTGTGACGAGTTTACTTCCTATCTTTTCCGACGCATGAATTATCTGCTCGTATTAATGAGATGGAAATTATCGGGGTATAAACTGTCGTAGAATTTGCGTAGCATTTGCATGCATCGATATTTCTGCTTCTTACGAATCCTTTACTAACGCGGTAACGTTATTGGAACTTTACAGAATTCCTGTTACACGTAGCGATATTTACCTGTTAGAATATTGATTATAATTTCCAGTTATCGAACGAGATTTTATTGCCAACTAGATCATTCATATTCCACGACTCGGTCGTTCTGTATATCAAACGGTTTCATATAACAGGCCCGACTTATTGATTATACGAGACCGAACGACCATCCATGTTCCCATTAATTCATCGTTATAAATGCACCGTGATTTTCATCGAACGAAGTTAATTGTTGCGGATCGGGGAAAAAGTGTCTCACGTTACACCGTTAGTTCCACTATTTTCGATAGAAAATTCTTGCTTAAGATTCTTCTAAATTTCTACTAAAATTTTTGCCACAAACTGTTATACGCTTTTTTCGGTATAATTCTCCGCGAAACCCTCAGAACCCACAAAACGCTGAACACACAGAGTTCCACCTAAAAGACAGTGACCAACGCGAATGACCGCACGATCCTTCAATTCACGTCCCGTCGTTGCCATCGTGAAAGCAGTGAGGCAACATAACCAGGGACAGAAAGGGAACAGAGACGAGAGAAGATATCCCGAGCACGACTACTAGACAGAAATACAATAATCATACAAGCCCGTACATGGCCTGCATAATAGGATCGCCTAGGGGATGAAAGGAGCAACGAAGGAGAGGAGGGCCGGGGGTGAGGGGAGCACAAACGTAATCTCAGCAGGATGCCGTGCATAAATTCCGTCGGATCGACTGTTTGAAGGGTTGCTTTGGCTGCGTGTTTCTTAATATCTGGAACACTGGCGCCGTCCTAACGATCGTAACATTCGACATAAAAAAAGTCCTTCCATCAATACCCTCTGCTTTTACGAATTCCTTTTATGAACGAATTTAATCAGCGGCTACAACGATCATCTTAACTCCGTGTCCTCCGTAAACATCCAAAGTGTTCGTCCAGAGTGATCGTCCAAAGTGGACACTCAAAATGAACATTTAAATTCAATGTACGAAATGGTCATCCAAACTGGACACTCAGAATAAAAATTTAAAATTAATATAGGGAAGGAGCATCCAAAATGAACACCCAGAGTGGACACTCAAAATGAACGATTAAAATTGATGTATGAAATGGACATCCAGAGTGGACACTCAGAATGAACATTTAAAATTAATATACATATGGAACGATCATTTAAAATGAACACCCAGAGTGGACACTCAAAATGAACGTTTAAAAATAATATACCAAATGAACATCTAAAATAGAGGTTAAGGCTAATATCTTTTAAGGTTAATATCTGAAATTAAGATTTAAGGCGAACAACTAAAGAGTACACTTAAAGTGGACATCGGGTTGAACATTTTAGGGTGAATATTCATAGGAAACATGTGAAGTGGACATTCGATGTGCCCACTTAAAGAGGACATACAAATCAAACATTCAAAGTAAACATCTGAGCAAGCATGTGAAGTGGACTTTTAAAGCGAACGTTTAAAGGGAACATGTGAGGTTAACATGTATGAGTACCAACTTTAGATGTTCATTTTGGAGGTTTCTTTTTAACTGTTCACTTTGGATGAGTTTAAAAATGAATATTCCGTTCGCAGTTACCGTGTTTCAGGCATAAATGTTGTGTAGCCAAGTAACGGTCTTTATGAAACAGTTTCGTGCTCGTATTACCAAAGAGTTTCGACTAGTTTGGGATCTCGGGTCCGCGTAGCTGAAGTTTAAGGAGAAGTTAGGTCCAAGTTAGGGGAAGGTGAAGCCTACGATAGAGTCGGGGTCCATTTAAGTTAGTATGAGACACAGTCCGCTTGAGGTCTCGGTCAGATACGAATTATATTCCATAAATGATTCGGTTTAGGGCAAATTTAACTTCCACGGATTCTGACTATGAATCGCGAACGAAGTTAATTTTCTGATTTAAAAATTTAACCTAATTAGAGGTATCTAATATCCGCATTAGTGATGCACTTATGGCTTCATTATTGTTAAATAACAGCTATGAAATACAGGTTCGAATCCACGGATTCAATTAACCGTAGAAAATCAATTTAGAATTTCCCTTCCAAATGATACCAGGACCGATTGAATACCGTTCGATTTAGCGATTCCACAAAACGGAATACAGATACGCGTTACATCGGTCCTCGTTAATTAACGATCGTGCGTTGCAACAACAACGAATCCGAGAACAACCCGACGGTATTTTTACCGTATACCATGTTTGTCGAATGAAAGCTCGTATTTGCGCTTCATTCGGCTGCGCGTCAAGCTCTGTCGCGTTCCTGAGGTTCAGTCGAATTTTCACTCGTCCGGTATTTCAATTACACCTTTCTCGCGATCTGCTGTGTCACACTGATTGAATTTTCAACGAAGATTGACGGCGGCGTTTTCCGGTTCTCGACCACGTTCTTCGTCCTCTGACCAAGAGACATTACGTTCCGCGATGATTGCTTCACCCCCGTAACACTTGCTTCAACAGCTTTAAAATTGCAAACAAATAACTAGCAGATAAATTAGCGGTAATAAGTTTGGCGAATTTTCCGTAACTTGGAAACTTGTCGAAATATGGTATCGATTGGAACAGCTTTAAAAGAACGTCCGATATGGCGTTTTTGCTCGAACGATCGCTATAAGTCGCAGCCAGACGCGACGACACTGGTTGGGACGCAATATTTTTTCAGTAGGACCGTCTTATCGCCGTCGCGATGCGTCATAAGCGTTATCATGGCGCCTCGACTAGGAACGCTCGTTGGGCCAACGACACGGCCCCGGCGATTGTCTGCGGAGAATTAAGTCGGGACTTTTATCTGCGATTGCAGGAGTCGAAACAACGGGAAAGAGAAACGAAGAAAAAGGGAAGCTTTATTCCTGTCGTAACCGGCGCTTTTTTATTTCAACTGGGAAACAACCGAATACGCTCGAACGGGCACTCGAAAGCTTCTAACTTTGACGCGTATTCTACAAACGAGTTGACGAATCGACAAATTGCTGAAAATTGAAACGCGTCACTTGTTTAGATACCATCGTGCCAGCTTCGAAGTAGAGAGCCATCGAATTGAATTCATAGCAATTGGATCGAGAATGTTTCCGATTCGATGTTTTCCGATTGAATCGCGCGGCTAACCGAGGAGTAGCCAGTTACAACTTACAACGCTCATCGATCGGATTTGCCCTCAGTTAATTCGAGATGATAGGCGATTTGCAGAATTTTGAATTTTGTATTATGAAGTGATGTTATGAACAAAGTAAATACTTGTTTTATTAATACATGGCTAAATCCTCTAAATGCACATATGTGGGAACTTCATAAGTGGATGATGAATCCTTGCATATGGGACACATAATCTACTTAGTAAATTGATTTGATAAATACTGTACTCTGAAGTCACATATCTGATCTAAGAATTAACGTAGCCTATTCGCATCAGACAGAAATAATGGGCCGATGACAAGCTAGCAAGCAACTCAAAGCGACAGAGAGGAAATTCTATTGCTAGGTGGTTCGCGGGACGGCCGATTTAATTTTCCGCCTATCGAACTCGTCCGAGAAGTCGTCCCTAAACGCTTCGATGAATTTTAAATTGTGTCATGATTCCTGTCCATCGTAAGCTGATTCGATAACCCTCTGACACTTTCATCTAACAATTCTGAGTACTTGCTGTTTGACATCCGTACGTGATAAAACTGTATCAATAGCTTACAATGACTAACATTCATCTGAACAAACCTTGCTTTGTTCAAGGATAAATTTATAAAAATTCTGATCACTGCGAATTAAGATTAAACGAGTAACCGAATTAAAGCAATAATATGAAGCTTCTATCTGATGCGCCATAAAGGAAAAATGTTGACCATAAAGCATTCGGAGAAACCGATTGTCAGTCTCAAGGAAGAAAGTCTCATGGGCAGTACCCTAAAGGGTAGGAACTCGCGGCATCGTCATTGTTCGAAGAATGGAAAGCAACCCTCGTCCCGCGAACAGACGGCGACCACAAGCCGCGACAATGACGAGCTCGCTTGGCAACAGGGCAGAGGGGTGTACGTGTACGCGTGCACTAATGGTGCTAGGCACGGCTTGAGGATGACATTAAGCAGCAAGTGCAGCAGAGTGTGCATTGTCATTCCCGTTGAATGTCGTCGTGTGGGCTGTTCAACACCGGCCATCTTCGTCTGACGACAACTTCGTTTCAACGGACCCTTTCACCCTCGGCCACACCGCCCTTTCCACCCCGATCCCTTCCTTTTCTGCCCGTTGAATATTACCGAGTACGTCGTGATTTGTTTTGCTGCACAAACCGTCCATCCGTTCCTCCATTAAGCGTAATAACATTTCGATGAATGCGCGCGCGGCTATTATTAGTTGCGCATTTACATAAACGTTGCGGCAATTATTATCTGCCGCGTGATTATTATGCAGCGGATTGCGAATATCTCGGGCACGGTCATTTTACGGGTGAGTTGCTTTTGCTTGTGTGCTCTTATGCATTCTATCGACGTTCTTAATGTTTTGTTCGGTGATGTTCGTGGTGTTTATTGATGCGAGGTATAGCTGCGCGTTAGACTGCATCGATACGCAGTAGATCACTATGCATCGGATTATAACGCTTCTCTCAACGTGGTCAATATGCGCCGAATTTACAAGCGTTATATTCGCACGCGCCGAATTTACAAGCGGTGAATTTGCACGCATCGAATTTATATATGTTGAATTCTATGCGTGGAATTCCTACGTACTGAATTCTTACGCGTCGAATACCTACGTATCGGATTTCCAAGCGTCGAGTTCTCTACGCATCGAATTTCCACGCACCGAATTCCATCGCGTCGAATTCTCTACGCGTCGAATTTCTACGCGTCGAATTTTCATGCGTTGAATTTCCACGCGTCGAATTCTCTACGCATCGAATTCTTCACGCGTCCAATCCCTACGCGTAGAATTCTCCACGCGTCGAATTCCTATGCACCGAATTCTCCACGCGTCGAATTCCTACGCGTGAAATTCTCTACGCGCCGAATTCTCCACGCGTAGAATTCTCTACGCGCCGAATTCTCCACGCGTCGAACTCCTACGCGTCGAATTTCTACGCACCGAATTCCGTCGCGTCGAATTCTCTACGCGTCGAATTTCCACGCGTCGAATTCTCTACGTCCGAGAACTACATTTTTGATACTGTCAATATCAGTGGTTTTTAATTTAATTTAGAATTCAAACACGTAGTAAGACATCTAACAGCGTGTATCAAAGCTGCCTGGTCGCAAGGTCCGACCAAAATAATGTCATTGAACTTCTCGCAAACGGAACTATATTCCCAGATGCCGTGATACCTAGATGCCACAAAACGTCGCGTCGTTAGGGACAATAATCGTACGTAATCGTAAAGGACAGACGCTTTAGAGAAACAAGAGAGGAAAAGAAGGTTGACTCGGTGGCGAATTATCGAGAAAGTGCAATTCAGGATGGCGTGCCGCCAAATAATCCATGGAAACTTCCTTGGGATCCGAGTCGAGAAATGTAAAAGCGACGCTTCGGCGAAACAGGGGTCGTACGAGGTGGAAGAAGAAAGAATGCAGCAATCGATAGCGATGCTAAGGGTGGGTGGTAAACGATACTAGCCAGGGGGTGGCTAGCGGTCGAAACGTCTGAAAATACAGGCGGAGGATTATAATCTAAGATTTCCTTTCTACCGGGACGCGAATAATCGACGGTTTCCTGCGAAGTCGACGAAGGGAGAAACTTTTGCGACGAGAAAATACGCTGGAAGCTGTTCCGATACCAACTTATCGTTCTTTTCTTTCAGCGTGGATTTTAACAAATTTTATCGTTCTTGTCCTTCCGTTTCTATGAAATAAGATGGTTGAGAGCATCGACGCGGATTAATACGGTCATTACAGAACTCGAATACAGAAACAAGTCACAAACAGAATTATATATTTCAATTAGATAGGTCCTCTTTCTTAAATCTTGCATTGCGAACACGTGTAATAACGGGAAACATACACCAAAATCTTGCAATTGTCAGAGAATTTGAAAGGATATGTT